AGAAATTTGGACAAATTCTAAATATCGTGAGTGATACCACTACCTTCTAGTCCTTGTCTACTTCCAAGTCTCTTTCAATAAAATATTAACTTGCAATAGCTTTGTATCGCTTTGGAAATGATGGCTCAGGTACGTCATTTCCTAGGATTTCTGAACACTTTGGAATAAGCGGGGCAGGAATGATACATTTGTGCACTGAACGTGTGATTACGGTAAGTCAAGGATAATTATTTCAATCTTTACATTATTATTAAACTTATAAATTTAAATTAATATTATATTTTTATATTTACACAGGCGCTGCTCTCTGTAAAGAAAAAATACATAACTTGGCCGAGCGAATTGGAACGCAAGCACATTTGCGCAACGATGATGAACTCGCTTCCAGGATGTATTGGTTACATGGATGGTACACATATACCGTTGTTCGAGGCACCTCTGCAAGACCATGAAGCGTATTTTAGTAGAAAACAGCAATACGCACTACACATACATGCAATCTGTGATAATCATTTACTATTTAGGAGCGTCTCAGTAGGTTATTCAGCTAGTGCACATGACGCTAGAGTTTTCGCCAACTCGCCCATTGGTCTACATCCAGAGAATTACTTATCAGACGGTCAATGGATAGCAGGAGATTTAGCCTACCGCTGTAATCGATACGTAGTGACTCCGTTTAGAGAAAATTCAAATGTTGGAACACGAAGAGATAGGCGTCGTTTCAACCGTCATTTTTCAAGTATTTTATTAATTACGTTATTACACAAGTATGTTTATGATTTAGAACATTATCCTATTGCTCACAAAATATTTTATTCAGGTAAACAAGTGAAAATCGAGCATGCATTTGGAATTTTAAAAATGTTATTTAGAAGTCTTCGATCCTTGCGTGTTCGAATAAATAAGAACAAAGGACATCGACGAGCATGTCAGTGGATTATAACTTGTATAGTATTGTATAACATTATTAAGCCAAAAGCACAGGACTACAACTTCGATGCAGAACAAGTTTTTCATCACTTCGAACAGGAGCTGCAATACGATGAGACTAGAGGTGAAAATAACTGCCAAAGAGAGATTTTATTCCAGTGGTTTTTGCGAAGAAATATTTAGTTTTCTTAGTTACCATTTTATTCCCTTGTTTCAAGATTATACAGAAAATAAAAATGGAACAAAAATAATATGAATAATATTATGTATTTATATTACATAAAATATATATTTATATTATTATAAAACAGAATATAATGTTGTATAATTATCATAATTATCTCTCAAACGATCGCATCAAAAGTTGAAATAGGAACAGTTGCATGAGATGTAGGTTACACCCTAAAGTATTTCCCTCGTAAATGTTAACAAAAAAAATTTTCTTTACTTTTCTCTTTGATTTTATAAAATTTTTTAAACTTATTTTTTTTAAATGTAATTTCTGTAGTATAAAAAAATTTTAATTTTAATGAAAAAAAAGACCTTCAGCAATCGTAAAATTTTTCCATGTCGTGATCATAAAAATAAAATAGCTAGGGTGTAGCCTACACGCCACGCGATCGTTCGAGGGTTATACAGAGACTTCCCTGGTAATTATTTAATACCCATTTTTAATTTTTCCAACTCAAGGTCATGCTGTAATTTTAATTTCTGGAGCTCTGCATTTTTTTCAATTTTTAACTTCTCAAGTTCAAATTGCCGGTCTTCACTTTTTTTTTGTCTTTCTATGTCTGCCGTCCACTTCTCACGTTCGAACTTTAATTGCTGCTGCTTAAATTCTTGTTCTATTTGGAATCGTGTCTGTTGTTCAGCATGCATCTGTACCTCCTTTGCCTTTTCCCAATTCAGACGTTTCTCTTCAACAACAATTCTTGCTTTCAGAGAATTTTCTAGCGCCGCTGCAGCAGACTTAATAGGGCTTTTTCGTAATCTTTTCTTTAAAGGTTCATCCTCTGACGTCGATGTAGTGGGTGTTTCAACAACGTGTTCAATAATTTGAAAACTCGAAGCATCTATATTATCTATATCATCAGGTAGGTTCACGAGTGTATCAACAGTTGTATCATCATTTGTATCAATTTCTATTTCCAAACTTGTTCCGTCACCATCCAACTCAATATCATCACTATGATGGATGTAAGGAGGATTGATGTGAGGCTTGTCACCGAGGATTTCGTCCAACTCGAAAAAGAATTTACAACGCTTGATTAGCTCCACTAAAAGTTAAAATATGTATCAGATAAGCATAATTATAAACGTCACTTATAGTTTATAAAACGAATGAATCATATAACGCTTAATAAATCATATAATCATATATACTTTTTACAGTATCACTTCCTGTCTCGACATTTTCTTGAAGAATGCCTTGTCCAGTTTTGTTTCGCCATTCCAAAGCTTTATTGTACGATGCCTTCATATTCTTCATATGTTGAACAAGCTTAGCATTGTTAATATTCTCAAAAAGTGGAAGTTGGTGAATGCGTAAGAAATTTTTGTAGTACTCGGGTGCGGTTGGCTTCTGGAAAACCATTTTAAATGTTTAAATGTAAATGAAGGTTTTAAATATATACCCAGTAAACATCGAGCATCAGTTACATTGCATCTGTGTTACAATTCCTCACTCAACAATGTAAATGCAATATAACATGTGTTATATTACATTTACATTGTTGAGTGAGAAATTATAGATGCAACGTAATTGATGCTCGGTGTTTACTGGGTATTTGAATATTCACTGATGTAATAGCCATTTTGCCCATTTACTTCGAATTGTCTTCCTATGGATATGCCATCCTTGGCGTAATCTAAAATCGCTTTCTCCATTTCTTCAGTCCACTTCTGGCGAGGATTAATCACTACACGTGACTTTTTGGTCCTTTAAATGAGATTAAAAAAGTTTTCAAATTTTTTTTCCGTACTTTTTTATAAATTAATTTAAAAATTATTTAACGTAATACAATAGGTAATAGAAATTGACATACATTCCATCAGGTTCCACACAGCTTTTTCTTGGCATTTTGTAGACTCGTACCCAGCAGGCCTATTCTGAAATTATTAACAATAATGTCGTTATTGATGCTGTCGTTGCGCTGATGGTAAAAAAAGCTGCGCAATGACATATCGATAATGACACTATTGTTACAGATACAGAATAGACTTAAGTGCGTCCAGACTTGTGTCGTATCACCGTATCATATCCTGGATCATGTATCATGATCAGCTAAGTATAGGTATTTACATATATACGGCACCCCGTCCACACTTAGCTGATCATAATACGCAATCCAGGACATATAGGATATGAACGCACCTTTACAGTGCTGCTAGAATATAAGCTGCTAGATCGTGGAATAGGAGAGTTTTCACCACTAAATGCAGGATGCCACTAACTTAACCTAACCTATCCACACGCACAGCATGTCAGTTTAGCCGAAGACGAATGCTTAACCTATCGTATTAACCTTTAGGTTAAAAGTTTAAAAATTAGCTTTTTAACCTGACATTGGAACCGGTGGCTGAAGTCACCGTCCCAAGGTCGGATCCTCCTAGCCGACAGACACCGTGCGAGCCGATGGACCAGACGGAGGTGATCCTGAGGGTGCCGGGAGCCGTACAAGCCATTGAGGAAACTGACCAATCGATGGGCCTTACGGAGGCAGAGGTGCAATTGTTTATGTCGAACAACGACGCAGAGCAATTGGCCCTGTTCCAGACGTTGCCAAAGGTCATCAAGGAGGAGATCGTGGCCCAATGCGGGGAACAGCCCGCTGGACCGCAGAACGAACAGCCGAGCCAATCGAGGGACGAGGAGAGCGTCGAAGATCAGCCCGATCAGACCGAGGCGTCGGAGACAGCGGCGGGAGCAGCGACGGCCCCGTAGAACATAGCCCACCCCGATTGCGCGAAGACACACGATTCCGGAAAGATTGGCCAATGAGAGAGGTCGTTCCGATGTAACGCGTGTGTAAACATCTTTTTGAGTTTATTTTATTTTATTTTGAAGTCTATTGTTTAATTTTATCAGTTGATTAAGTATTCGGAAAGTTTTACACGAATTACGCGACTACCGACCCAAGAGGTCTTGTTTGATATTAATTTTATTATTTTATACTTATAACGCATGTAGCGACCAATAGGAGCGTAGGGAATTAAATACATAGTATTTTATACAAGACAAGCGCAAGCGAACAACCGAAAACCCTTTCAACCAATCCCACGCATCCCAGAGTGAATATCAGTAGGAGCGAAGACAGAGCCATCGCGAGAGCCAATCACAGGCCATGGACTCTGATGAATTCAGAATAATAGTTTTAGCATTCATTTTCATTCTTTTTGCGATTTCTATCGTATGCATATTACTTTTAGCTTATTTGCATTCAGCGGGAGCACATCAACCGCATTATTTACCGTAGAGTCAGTAGAGTCAATAGAGTCAGCAAGATGCGGCTTAAGGAATACTTGGTAATCACTTTGATCATATTCAATACCTTTGATTATCAGTTTTCCAGAAATACATACAGTTAGCATGATATTCATTCTATATACCCTATACATCTTATTGTTAAGCCTCGAGATCGATCCTAGATTGATTCCCGACGAGCGATGAACCAATCACGTCGAGTTAAGCGTGTATTGCGTCCGAGGACCAATAGCGTCCGTTTTAAGTACTTTAGTTTTAATTATGCATGTTTCACAGTTTAATTGCAGTTTTGACACAACGTCGAGTAGCGACAGCCAATGGAGCAAAGCCCTGATAGTTTTATATCGATTCGTCGAGTTTTACCTTTATTTTCATATTTTACAGACTGTATTGTCGACGACGGCCAATAGGAGCGAATCCTGGCTAATTTCACATTATTCGATTTATTTCTGAGTTTTATAAGGCCTTCAGCCTATCGGAGCGCATTGAGCGACTCTGCCGAACGAACGCAGCGATCCGACCAATCAGAGACGAGCGTGGCTCGAAATAGCGAGATTCGCGTTATGATGCGTTTAAACGTTCAATTACAATTACTTTTATGTTTTCCCTGTCGAAACTGTTGAGAATTATTATTTCATTATTTTATTGTATGCGATACGCATCTTATATACTTACCGTCGGAATACTTACCGATAACGGTTTCCCGTCCAATGATTGGGCGAGACGATCCCACAAAGTCCGGTACCTGAAAGAAAAGGAGAATTAAGGTGGAAGCACATAAAATTACAGGAGCCATAGGCAGAATGCAGAAGCCATAGCGCATGCGCTGTGGTATTACTTTATCTGCTTATGGCAGAATGGCAGATATCATAGCGCATGCGCTATGGTTTCTGTATTCTGCCCATGGCTCCTGGATTTTCAATCTACATAAAAATACATAATGCATAGCCACGGGCATAGGCACATACATTCCGATTGTAGCCGGTCCTAAAGAAAAGTGATTAAGAACAAAGAACGGATTTATATTGATTAACACGTAAGTATTCTCATTATTTAATTATCAACTTAATAAAAATACGATCTGACAATGACCGTATATAATTATATTAGTGTGAATTGTCTCAGTTTCGTAAACATAGTGTTTTGAGGTTAATTTTATTTTGTGTGCCGAATACAGCAGCAGCAACGCGCGGCTCAGGACAGTTTAAAAAACATAGACAACGAGTCCGATGCACCTAAAATACCGATCAGATTATCAAAGATTGGTATTTGGATGACGAGGACGATGATGATGATGACGAGGGAGGTAATCTTACTATAGTGGATAGTTCGAAAGACGAAATCGAGCCTATCGAGAAGACGCAAGACCTCGTTATCAAGGAGGAGTTCCAGCCTGCGACATCCGTGTCCAACGTACCCCAGCCGGCCGCTATTTTGGACAAATTAGGTGACCTGAGCAAAATTGATATCAATGCCGAAGTATCCAAATTGCTTTCTACTCCGAAGGCTCAGAGCTCCGCAACCAACAAGACGCAAGCAAACTCGAATCAAGACGCGTCGAAAACTAAATCGGCGCAAGATTCGAAGACGGATAGCGAGACGTCGTCAAGTCCGAGGCGATCACCAGAAATTGTAATTTATTGCAAAATAAACGCATCTTCTCATAATTTTCGGTAAGTTTTATATACAGTTTAGATGTAAAAATTTATTATTAAAACATTCTCTTGATTTCTCGTTATCAAGGAGGAGTTCCAGCCTGCGATATCCGTGTCCAACGTACCCCAGCCGGCCGCTATTGTGAACAAATTAGGTGAACTGAGCAAAATTGATATCAGTGCCGAAGTATCCGAAGACAGTGCATCTGTCGAACTTCGTTATCTGTCCAGTTTTTAATTTTTATCGACAATAATAAGTTTTGATAATATGTTTTATTATTAATTAATATAAATAAACATTGTTATTGTCAGTCGAATTACTCTTTCACCTGTCAGTTACTTTGTATATGCATATTCGTGATTTTTACTAGTAATAATTTCCACGAATTTAAATTCTTAGGTATCAGCGCAACCGTCAAATTACATAATTAAGTTTTAATCTATCAATTAATGACAATCAAGTTTTTAATAATTAATACAAAATTTCATATTCGCGCGAACATATTGTATCAATAATAATATATATATAAATTTTTATTCGTATAAATACAATTTTAACCTAGCGACTTAAATTAACGCATTTTCGTCGTTCGTTTTGTCAACTTCAATAACGTGTCAAGTTTTATTGCCTGGTGATCTTTTGAAAACGATAAGTTCGAAGCGTCTTTTATTAATTTGAATCAAGCAGTTGTAGAGCATTTGAATTCTAAAAAAGATGGTGCACAAATGCAGAATGATCCAGACACTTTATTTTGCAATCTGGTTATGGCGGAATTAGAACAATTGGATGATGATATAAAACAAGTCAAAAAACAAGAAATCATGAAAATTTTGTGGAGAAAAGAAAACCTGTGAGCGAGATGATTTTTGTGATAAAATAAATAATTTGTATTTATTCGTAGATACATATAATACTCATGTCTTAAGATTGTGCGATATTAATTTTAGTAATAACATATATGTGTACTGGTATATAATAATA